GGCACAAGGTTAAGACAGGTCAGACATGTCCCTCGGAGGATGGGCGAAGGACGAAAAGACCTGGTCCGGAGCAGATGGCCTTCTCAGTCTTGGGCTGGCCGGCAGGGACCTGCCATGAAAGAGCTTCATTGGCCTCGTAGCCATTAGCTCTGCGTCGACCTCCACGGATGAACGCATGACCGTTGTCGAAGAGCGGACGCGGCAGGGGTTCCATTTGGGAAGATCGACAGGTTTGGAGGGTGTGGCTCTGTAGGTAGAGTCTGTGGGCAGGGTGTGCAGGTTAGGAGAGGAGGGGAGGGGTGCGGACATTTCGGCGGCAGCCACAAAAGGACAGAGGAATGTATGGCTGGCGGAAAAAGACGAGACAACAGAAGGCTCCACGACTTTCGCGAGGGGGGGGGGGCAAAGAGACCGGCGATGCCTTAACCCCTGGCAGAACCCGTGCAAGGACGCGGGTGACAGGGGCCGAGCACGGGGCAGATCACCAAGGTTTCTAGTCAGATCTCTGGCTCCCGCGCGGTGTCTCGCCATGCCTTGCGCCCGCCCGCACACACTCCGTCAGCCGTGCTTTGCCATGGCATTGCCGAGCCGTAGGAACGAGAACAGAGGGTTTCGCAACGGCTGAATAATAATTGAGAAACCTGCCTCCTCCGTATGAAGTGTGAACGGTGAAAATGGCGTCGGAGTGAGTATCGCCATGGTCACATGAGTACCGTACTGGATTAGCAGTAGCGTGCGAGTGGAAAGATACGTGTGGGGTGCCTGAGCAAGCTACACTGTCCCGCCCACAGGTGGCCTGTTCACAGTGTCCCGACTCCCAATGAGTCGAGTAGCTCATTCTGGCGCGCGATGCAGCACGAAGACGAGTGCAGGTCCATGGCAGAGCAGGAGGGCATGAACAACTCCTTCACCACTCGCATGCGTACTGCTTGATGTCATGCTACCTGCTCTAAGAATATGTTGCATGTCGACATTATTGGGATGAAAGAGTGACCATTCGGCACTAGCAAGCTGGAGCCCAAGGTTTGTGCTGTGGAGCGCACTCCCTGCCTAGTGAATTGGGTTGTGCTTCTAGCCCAGTCGCGCGAGACACCACCGATAGCGGCACTTGACAGGACGTAGTGTGCTTCCCCCCTCGTGGTGGTGCTCACGCGAAACTTCCTCATCACCACGTGTGGGCGACAGCGGAGGCGATGGGAGGGGCCAGAAGAGAGGACCCGTCGGGTGACTGATACGCCATGTGAAGTGAGACGGCACCGTCAGGACGGCATAGACCGTAATGCTACCTTGAATAGGGTACCTAGCATGAAAGTGACCAGCAACAACAGTCAGCGCCCACGCCCTGCCTGTAACCCGAACCATGGACTTGTGCTGATTCGGACCATGACCTCCCAAGTCAATCGTCAGGCTCGCACCCGCTGCTGTCGGTTCTGTGGGAACTTGCTCCGAACAGGCCGCAGGCTGATAGGTGTGATTGTGCCACCAGGGACCAGAGTGCAGCCGCCTTGCGAAGATATGCACCAGTACCCTTCACACCGAGGATGTTATTCTGATTGCTCCCGAGTGCCGAGGACGGCACGAAACGTCGAAGCGATCGTCAAACCTTCGACAACTGACTGACTTCGAGATCGGGCTGGTGGCAGGGCGCCACTGGCAATTGACAATACACGGCCAGAAACTGGGTGCTGTGCTCTTGAGTTCGAGGGGTAAAATGCCGCTTTGGTAGGGCCGCGGAGCGGCCGCAGATTCCTACTGGACCGAGAACGGGTAGATCGCTTTTGCGAGAACTGGAGCTCCCAAGTCAGGGGTACAAGGCGCTTGGGTCAGGTCCTGCTTGACGCCGTGCCCGCTCACGCCGGCACGATCGAGCGTTGTTGCGTCCCACAGTGTGTGTGGGCAGCCCTCAGTGCTTGTCACTCAGGTCTGTGCTCCCACCTCAACGGACCCGAAGAGAAAAATGGTCTGCAACTTGCTGGTCCTGAGCAATCCGGATGTCATCCGTGGTTTCATCCCTTGCGGGGGTGTGGTCTGCCGCAAGAAAATACCGTGTTGGTTTGATGTGATCGATTGCCGTCCTTCCATCCATCAGCGATCACGGCTCATCAGCGATCATTGCTCATTAATCTTGGTGAGGCCCACAGACGCAACGACTCGTGCGTTCAAACTCTCTCCATTTTACCGAAGGAACCGCATCAACATGTTGGTCCTGGCACTCTCTCACCAACCTAGCCCTGCCGAAAGAGCCACTCCACACCCCCCTGAAGCCCAATCCGTTCTGAGATGCACCAGTCAGGCACGCGTTGTGCACAACTGGACAGACGAAACAGCCCAAGGTTCGAGGTGTTCGTGGACGCGTCGCGTCCGAGCCTTGTGCCACATTCAACCCTCGCATTCGGATGCCCCGATGCTTTTCTTGGCACCTATGCGCCATCTTATGAGGGCGATCATTTTGAGAAGCCTGCGGTGAGCAAGGGTTTCGTCGCGTCTTCCGTTAGCCCTGCGAGATTCCGAAAGGGTGGACTTTGTGGACAGACAGGCAGCAACAATTCGTTGAACTGGGTGGACCGACAACCATGGCAGGCTGGAAATGCTTCATTTCCTGGAGGATCTGGCTGTCAAGATCTGCAACATGATGTGTACGAAACATTCGACGCCATGGGCAAAGTTGTCGAAAGCCCGCCAATCCGCCCCCAATTTCTCCACCAGCCTCATGCCAGCTTTTCGACACACGGCTTGTAACCTAAAGTGAGGTCAGGTTGTGGATGATTTGAGTTGTGGCAGACCACCCTGGCGCAATCTAAGCATCGGCAAGCCTGTAAACTTGACACAACGGCTTGTCGAGCGCCTAACCTTGTTGGGCTTTTGGTCGGCGACACGTCGATGCTAGGGGGAGATGAAGTGCGCTGGAAGATTCCGACAGCACGGCAGCCGTGGGGCAGGAAATGATGTCAGGGGCCCTGTGGATGCTTCTCTGGGCCTTCTGGCGCTTCTGGTGGTGCGCGAGCGCGACCGGTCTAATGGTGCACCGACACCGAGGGCTCCAGTGTCCCGGTTGGCTTGCCGGTGGTGGACAGCCCCGCTTGCTGGAGCTCTCAAGTCGTTGTCGCCTCGTCCCCGACGACCCCGCTGGCGACCCATCTACCTGTCGAGCGGGTGACGGACTTTTGGGAGTCCTACGGTGGCAATGTCAGACAACCAGGGCAGAGGCATACCAGTCAAGTGGCGGATCAACAACGGCATGGCTTATGGCTTGTTCGTGCCACGCGGTCGTGGCCGTGTTCAACAACCAAAGGTCAGCCACAGAGGTGTGCCCCATGTTGCTGCTTCGCGACAATACGCCCCGTGGCCCCCCGCCGTCCCCTTGTACCTGAGTTGCTGCACAGCACACCAGCACAGCACAGCGCATGCACGGCAAGTAGCCGTGTCGTCGGGGGTGAAGTAGCCTCGGGGAACACAGAGTTCGGCGATTGCCACCGAGATTGGCTAGGACGTCCATCTCGTACCACGCTGGCTTGTTGAAGGGGGGTGAGCTGTCCCAAGTTGTCTGTCATCAGTCGATTTGGTCCCTGCAATCAACAAAGCTTGACAGTGACTTTTGGGCTGCTTGGCGGCAGGGTGGTCGCATTCTAATTTCGTGCGTGTCAGAATCGTGGTCACGACCAGGTCGGGGCCGCAAGTGGACGTGCAGTCCTGTCAAGTGTCGACGATGAGATGTCAGCGGGAGCCAGATTGTCGATCTAACGGGAGTCGTCGAAGCTTGCGAGGGTAATGCGTTGAGGGCATGATAGTCCGTCGTATGGCGCGGCGCGGTCGGGTACCCAGGTTCCAGGTAATGTCTTGGCCCTTTGGGCCAAAGAGGGGGGGGGGGAGACGCACAAGCAACGCAACTGTGTCTTCGGATTCCTCGATGGCCTTGGGCCGCCTGACTCGTTTCGAGTGCTCGTCAGGATTATCGACACACCTCGAAGATGCAGATTTTGGGTCCTACCTGGTATGGGTAGGACTAGGGTTGATTCATGGATAGATGGTGGTCCAGGGATTCCTTGTTCGACTAGCGAATTCAAGTCCAAGGTTAGTTTTGCTTTGGGGCTGGCTGATGAACAGTGGATGGAAGTGACCGATGGGTTGACTTTTCGTCGGCGGAAGGGAAACGATGGCTAGGTGAGGTCACAAGTTTGGCTGTGCTCTGATGTGGTCTGTTCTTGGCAGTCCAAGTCGCAGTGTGTCGGCTTGGCAGTGGCCGCTTGGCCGTGACTGCCAAGGTTGTAGCATCTGCCGCGCCTCACTTGGTGATGCCGCGCTCCGGCACATTTTGGGGGGGGCAGAGCGGACCTTAGCCAGGGGCGGCGCAGGCAGCAGCAACTGCCCGCGAGCGAGGGCTACATACGTGCCTATCGGTACCTACCTACCTTAGGTACCTTGGTTGAACAGCCAGGTGATTCTTGGCTCGCGTGGCGCAAGGGACCTACCTTAATCCAATAGAGGTAGGTAGGTAGGAAGATCGATACCTAACTTACCTGCTTATCTACTCGTACAGTACTTGCCTTGCAAGCGTATGACCTTGCTGCCTGACCTTGAGGTGGCGGAGAGGCTCCACGAGCTTGCCGTCGGAGGGTGGCTTGGGGCAAGTGCCATACGCTCTCCATCATAGGTACCTAGGAAGGTACCCATGAGCAGCCAGCCTGTGGTCGGGAACAAACAACGACGGGGCGTGCAGCAGGGCCAGCTGGCCGGGAGACTGGGAGACTGGGAGGCCGGGAGGCCGGGAGGCCGGAAGACATGTAGTAGGCGCACGCACTCGCGCGAGCACAAGCACAAGCAGGAACAAGCAGGCGCAGGCAGGCAGGCACCGCCAGACCCCGCGGTCTCCACGAAATCTAGCGCTGCGAGTTGCCGCTTCCAGCTTTGCAGCTTGCAGCTTGCAGCGGGCATTCAATCATCTTGGCAAAAGCAGGGCTGTCTGGTGACTGCCGCTGGGAAGGGGAGCCTTGAGATCAGCGTGGGTCGGCACTTCACAACTTAGTCATGGTTCTCATGATCAGAGGGAAGATCCCCGACCCATTCACGTATGGGACCACCCCAACTATTGACCCTATTCCCTTTTGGCCGTCTTCGTCTGAACTCTGTTGAACCTTTTTGAGCTGTTTTTGAAGGAAACCCTCGTAGGGCTATGGTCCTTCTGAGACGTTCATCGTCAGGTAAAGCCGCACCCCCCGCCAGATGCCCCGAGACCACAGCCAAGGTTGGTGCATGGCCCGAGTGTCATGGTCCAAGTCGGCTTCCTCTCACACCAGGCCAGAAGAGGAGAGAGATGGAGAGCGAGTGGTGCCAAGAAAAGAATCAGTCGACGAGGCTTTGCCAAGACAGGTGCAGTTCGCCCTCGTCTGCGTCCTGTTGTTTATGCCTCTATGCTTTGTCCCATGTTTCTGCGAGTAGACAGACATGTTCACTCTTGGCCCTACTCAGCCGACATGTCGCTCAAAGTTTAATTTCGTCGCCAGCACGACGGATATGCCCGGTCCTTCTTCATCTTAACCGGCCCAAAGCAGCATGGGAAACAGCCAGCGCGCGCGTGCAAAGCGGCAGTCTCATGAGTCGCGCCTCAGACGATCAAATCCCCTTCATCTGGCTGTGATGATACTCGTGACGGGAGATTTGGTTCCTCCCCCCCTTCTTGCCGTCTTAATCTCTGCGCCCCCCCCCCCCCTCTTAACGAAACCTCTACACGGTACGTGACCCCCTGCGTGCTCAGGGCGCTGACCACCACGGTCCTACCCTGTGGTAGATGTGAGTGAGCCAGGTCGTCCAGCTGGCTGGGTTGGGCGCTGGACCCTCCCGACAAAAACAGATCGCCCCAGGCCCACGTTGGCTAGACTCGCGATCGCTGCCGCCCTATCTGGCTTTTGGTTGTCTGGCCTAAAGTGTGCATCAGACACACAGCACTTCAGTTGCTGAGCGTGTTGCTATTCCTGTCTTTTCGTTTGCACCCGTTCCGTTGAAACGCTCGACAGGCAGGAGGCACCTTTCAGATAGATGACAGCTTGGCATACGGATGACCTCCCCAAGACACACGCCGACGGGACTGACCTACCTACCCGCGCTGGTGTTCTAGGCCAGCGCCCAATTGCCCGGCACCCCAGTGTGACCCTCCGAAACGTCAACCAGCAATTTCCCCGCCCACATGCTGATTTCAACATGACCTGACGAAGGCGCGCCAAGCATCATGGCCTCACTCATAGCCTCAGCATCCAATGACGAAGCGCACTGCCAAGACTTGTCGATATTGCCGGGCTCAGTGGAAACTATTTCTCAAGGCATTTTCTCCTGTCTCTCGCTTTCTCTGCCTCTCAGCCCATCTCGCAGCTGAGGTTCCCCCGGACTTCTTGGCACTCTCCTCCAAGCCTCCTCCCCTCCCCCCCCCCACCTTCTCTGCCCCTCCTCTAGTAGTCGTAGAAACCCTTGCCGCTCTTCTTACCCAGCCACCCGGCATCGACCATCTTGCGCAGCAGCACGCTAGGGCGGTATTTGGAATCGCCCGTCTCCTCGTGGAGGACCTTCATGATGGCCAGGCATGTATCAAGCCCAATAAAGTCAGCGAGCTGCAAGGGTCCCATGGGCACGTTGGTGCCGTTCTTCATTATGGCGTCGATCGAGTCGCGGTCGCCGACCGCCGTTTCGAGGCAGATGACAGCCTCGTTGATGTACGGCATCAGAATCCGGTTTGCCAAGAAGCCAGGCGAATCCGCGGACACGGACGTGATCTTGCCCATGGCCCTGCAAAACTCAATTGCCGTGTCGAGCGTGTCTTGGCTCGTCTGCAGGCCGCTGATGATCTCGACGCCCTTTTGCACCGGCACGGGGTTCATGAAATGGGTCGACACGACGCGGGAGCTTGCCGACGTATCCGTCGGGTTCTTGGTCGTCGCGGCGGCGATGCTCGTGATGGAGATGGACGACGTGTTGGTGGCAAGGATGGCATGCTTGGGGCAGATCTCGGCCAGCTGCGCAAAGATGTCGAACTTTAGCTTGGGGATCTCGGGCACAGCCTCAATGACAAAGTCCACGTCCGACAGCTTGTCGAGCGAGCTGGCCGGCGTCAGAAGGGACCGGGCGTGGTCCGCCTGCTCCTGTGTGATTCTCGACTTGGCCACGTCCTTGGCCAGGAGCTTCTCTGAGGGGTTGTGAGTGACAACAGTTCTGACATCCGCCTCGCCCATACCACAGTGCACGAACCTGCAAATGCAATGCCCCTCTTGAGGGATGCCTCGGACGTGTCAACGACAGTGACCGGGACCTGAGCCTTCTGAGCGGCCACGAGCGCAATTCCCAGACCCTGCATTGCGGTGTGTCAGTGACCAATGTCGTTGGCATTTCACCTTGCTGCTTCAATTGTCACATGTTGCGCGAGAACTCACCATCTGGCCTGCGCCGATAACTCCAAGTCGCTGCACCTTTGCGGCGGCATCCAGCCTTAGCGAAGAGCTGAAATATCTCGCTTGACTCCCAACCCGGGCCACGGGCCGCATTCTCGCGATGGTGGACGCCATTTCTGGAAATATGAGGATTCAAGGTTGCGGCAGGGTTTTGGGGAGGGGGGGCGGCAGAGTGATTGAGCTGCTGAGGTTGGGAATCGCAGTGAGCCGAGGGGAGGCTGACAACCAACAATGTCTTCGAAAATACGATTGTAGATATCGGACAGTATGTCTTACTAGCAGTTGTTTTCGTCACGAATCTGTCCTTTCATGAGTTGAAGCGTGTCTTGCAAGAAGTTCCATCTCGACCTTCGGCACGACAGCAGCAGCAGCATGAGATCACGACCCTCGGCTAACCTCGGCCTTAGATAAGCGGAAACCCAATGGCTTATCGACAGATCAGTTCATCCGGAGAACTACCGGTCAACTCACACTCGCGTTGTAACGCGTCGAGGCGCGTCTCCCTAGAGAATTGTATGGGGGTCAGGATTCTGGGTTGCTGGATGCCCATATCGCCGAGTCACCCCACCAACCATCCAGACCCGATGCCTGCTGTGAGCCACTGGGATCGGTGCTGAATAGATTCCAAGTGTACCCCTCGCCCATTGCCATCATGGAGATGCCGGATGGGACAACAGACATCGTCCATCCCGAAGTACGGGCGCACATCAACAGCTTAGTCTCCGCTGTAAGTTGCTGCTCTGCCGCGCCTGGATGCTCCATTCCAAAAGCTGACCCTGGGACAGCTCGGTGGCATCAGCGCAGATGATGACGGACGCTACAACCTGGGAGACGACGCTCTCGAGGTCCTCCGCGACTTGAAGAAATGGATACGATTTTACGACGAGAAGACGAACCGCATGGACGTCGCACGATGCATCGCGGAAGCCAACCTGATCGATGGCGACCTGCTTCCCATCCTGGCGACATGGCCCGAGAATTCCACCGACAACAAGTTCAGATCGAGGATCGCACTCGCATGCTTCGAGATCATGGTGCCGCTGACGTGGCCTGTGGAGCGCGATCCCGAGCAGACGACAGTCAACCATCACCGACACATGCCCGCCCTGCAGCTCGCACAAGTCGGCTACAAACGATCCATCATCAACTTTGACGGTGCGCGGATCCTGCACGCCGCAGCCAGGGTTGCCCTCCCGGCCATGGCCGCGCCGATTGGGGAGCGCACCCCGCGAGACCAGGGCATCATCAAGCTGGTGCTCTTCTTCTTGAGGAATGTCGCCATGATCGAGCCCCAGCCAAACGTCAAATATGAGGGCGAGGAGTCACAGATCTCTCGCTCGGCTACGATTGACGCCTTCTCCTACCAAGACATCTTCATGGTCCTCCTGACCATCGCATCCAACATGGGCGAGGACTTCCGGACCGAGGACGTGACCATCATGGAGATCATCTACCATCTCGTCAAGCGCGTTGACGTCAAAAAGCTGTTCATGAGTGAGCAGCAGGTCAACAAGGCCAAGGCGGATGAGCTGTCGGTCATGATGGGCAAGGAGAATGCAATGCTCAAGGCCCAGAACCGCAAGGGGCCCACACGTCACAACCGCTTCGGCACGGTCATCTGGGTGAAGCGCGCCGACGGCAAGATGACTGCAGTCTCCGGACAGGAAGCTCTGGTGGATGTGGCCTCGAGGCGGAAGAAGATGGACGAGACGAAAAAGTTCAAGCCGCCCCGCAAGGCCAGGTCAAAGACGGACTCGCACATGAAGGATCTAGGCGAGCTGCCGAAGCTGGATGCTCGTGCCTACTCTCAGCTGAGGAGTTTTGTCGAGGAATTCCTGGATGCCGGCTTCAACCCCTTATTTGAGCATGTCAGAAAGTCCATCGACCGCGAGGCCTCACACGTGCTGTCATACCACCGGAGACAGTTTCTGTATCTGGTGGCGTGGTTCTTGGAGGCGGAGCGAACCCGGAAGAGCTCGCAGCGCGCTTCTGCGCCGAAGAATTCGGCAGAGGAAGTCAGCAGCTTCAACCTGGTCGCCGCCGTCCTCAACCAGTCCACCTTTATCACTCTCAACAGGACCATGACCCAGGCCTGGGAGCATAAGGACTGGCCAGAATTGACCGCCTCAATGAGGTGTCTCACGCAGATCCTGCTGACGGTGCAGGAGATGTCCCATTCGCCCAACGAGGACGACCAGGAGATCGCGGAGAATACACTGAGCCGTCTGTTCTACGAAGACGCCATGCACGATCTGATAGCCAACGTCGTGAGACAGTACAAGGAGCAGGGTTTCGACTATCTCGATGCCGCCACGGAGCTGACACATCACTTCCTACGCATCTTGGAGGCATACTCAAAGCAAAACGTGGACATGCAAGTCCGGTCTCGGCGGAGGACGAGGCGCAAGAAGAAGGCGGCCAAAGAAGCGTCGGCCGATGGCGAGGGCGACGAAGACGAAGCCGATGATTCCGGGGACGATGAGAAGAACGCCGAGCTGACCACCAAGGAGCGCAAGTTCGACTTTCAGCGGTTCAGCGCCCGTTTCACGCCACAAGGCGTCGTCGACACGTTTGTGGCATTTACCAAGTTTTACAAAGATCTCAGCGACGAGCAACTTAAGCGCGCCCACCGCTACTTCTACCGCGTGGCCTTCAAGCACGACGCGAGCGTCATGCTGTTCCGCGTGGACATTGTCCACCTCCTCCACGAGATGGTCAAGGGCCCTGAACCTCTGGACAAGGCGTCGAGCATGTACAAGGAGTGGGAGGAGCTGGCGAAGCAGATCCTGCGCAAGTGCTTCAAGAAGATCGACGAGAGGCCGGCCCTCCTCATCGAGATGCTCTTCTCCAAGATTAGCAGCACGGCGCACTACCTCGAATACGGCTTTGAGAAGCAGACAATCTCAACGTCAAGGCCCCGACCCGCAGCTGATCTCGAGTTCAAGTACACCGAGGACCGCGAGCAGCAGATGGCCATCGCCGTTGGTGTGCTTCTCGACAAGAGCCAGTCGGACCACATCGCGTGGGTCAAGAAGATCCTCACCAACGCCGAGCAGGAGCGCCGCGCTCTCGCGGCAGCAGAAGAGATCCTCCCCTCCGTCGAGGCAACGGGCGACAACGACGAGCCGGTCGACAAGCCAGCAGACAGCTTCATGCCGTACAGTAAGTCAAGCGCCCGCCGCGTCCCCCTTCTCCTGTCAGCAGCACCCTGAAGATTAACACGGCGACCCTCCCAGCTGCCCGTCCCGACAACGATGCCCGCCAGGCAGCCATGTTCAAGAATGCCCACCTCCGCCTCCTCATGCGCCTCGCAGGGCTCGAGCGTCACGCTCCCGCCATCGACGAGTCTCCCGACAGCCTCTGGGTCGTCCCCGCGTCGGCGACCCCGGACCAGCTGCGCGAGACGCTCGATCTCATCAACAAGGCCGAGTTCAGCCCGCCCGTCTTCGAAGAGGGCGTCCTCGCCGAGCACCAGCTCCGCCGCAAGACGGCCACGCGCAAAAAGGCGCAGTACGACGACGACGACGGCGAGGGCGAGGACGACGACGACGATGAAGACGGCGACGTCGCCAACGCAGCCCTCTTCCCCGCCGGCGGACCGACAGAGCGCAAGGTCGTCAACGGCAAGAAGAAGAAGAAGAACAAGACAAGGCATGTCCGCAAACGCCGCGAACGGGACCCGGATGCCTCGGGCTCCGACGACGATGACGAAGCGGCCCGGGACCGGGCGCGCGCCCGCCGCGAGAGGGAGAGGGCCAAGCTGGAGAAGATCAAGTCGCAGCTCTACGTCGCGGCGAGCGACGACGAGACGGACGACGAGCGCGATGCCGCCTTCTTCGCGCGCGAGGAGGCGCAGGTG